TCACTTAATTCATGCCAGTTTTTAATTGTTTGCATTCAAATTGTTATTCATAGAATGCTCCAACTGCAGCTATTTTTAACTAAAACCCCCGCTCGAAAACTGCATACGTATCTCTGTACGTACATACAGGAAGAACAATGACGCAAACACATGTTATGTAATTATAAGCAATCATTTTTGGGGGTTGCTGCACCACGACCACCACCTGAAAGGCCTTTTGCATGGAAAATGCAAATAAAATGTACACAATACATATACATACATTCATACATACATATATATGAAATTAACAATTTTGGTGGGCCCGGACTACGAATTGTGTAATAAATGTTTTTCGCAGCAACGAAGACAGCGACAGAACAACAAACTTTAAACACAGGCCTGGCCATAATGGGCCACAGCCACTGAAAGCGACAGGCTGGCCTACAGAAAAAGAGCAAAATATTAACGCCGCCAAACAGAAGGACCACTTAAGCAGCGGGTAGACTAAATGATACCCAGGTGTGAGCTATGCGAAACTCCTCACCAGCAGCAGTTGCTCTAATTAAAATTTATTTAAATACAGATATTTAGAGAACTTCAGCATGCCTGTCCATTGCCCAGGGTATTTCGCTTGTATGACCAGTTTGTGCTGCACAATGACAAAACCGCAACAATTTACAATAATTTACATACAATTCGCAAAAATAAAGCGGCAACAACCGACAGCCAACGAGCCATTCCATGACAATTAACTCGACAATGGCCTTCTCGCTGTCTTTGACCGTTGAGAGGCCACAACGCTTGCGGCTGCACCATTTTCGCCAACATTTATTACAAAAAATCATAGCTTAAAACGTTAATAATACTCAATTAAAAGTTTTCTCCAACTCAGAGTACCAACATCATTTAATCAGAGCAATTAAAATTGTGCGCAAATTCTCCCAAACTAATTTAAAGCCAAAATGAAAGAAACAAACAAAAAAACTCGTACATTTTGGCCAGGCTGGCCCTTTCAGCAGCATTTGCATTTATTTATGCAGCAACAACAGCAGCAAACAATCAGCTGACCAAACTCAAACTGGCTGGCCACACTCTAAAGCAAACAAAACATGGGCAAAACATTTACATATGAACTTTCGTTTGGCTTACAATTTTGTTGTCATTGTTCCTGTTGTTTTTACGGGCAGTACTCCTCATGAATAATATGTTTGCTTGTTGCAACTTGGTTACATAGCCGGAAGATATGGTATGTATCTATTATGTATCTATTAGGTACAGGAGAACTTGTAGTACCTTAGTACTGAGCACTTGCATCTGACTAGATTTTGTATTGTGTGTGCGTTTAAGAAAATTAGATTCGAATCATTGTAAAAGTGGCAAATATCGTTTTCCGCCTAAAGATAGAAAATAGTTGTTTGACCTAAACGGCTAACGGCGATGGGTTTTAGTTGTTTTTGTGCACTTATATGGAATCTATATGGAATCCCTGTAGCTAATACACTTTCAGAACAGTTGTTCGTTCTCCATTCAAAACTAAATTTAAACGTTCTTAGTGAATTCCCTAGCAAAGGACTGGTCACATAATTAGTGTCAAACCCCGTGAACTGGTCTCCTTTTCCCCCTCCCTGCCCCGCGGGACTCTATTGGCTCTGGCATATGTCCTGCCTTGAGTTTGGTGTGTGTGTGTGTGTGTGTGCGAGCGCCAAGACAGCGTCCACTTAAGTATGCAGCACAAAATTCTCGTACGCTGCATGCGTACCAAAAATACTAAAACCAAAGCCATCCTGTTTGTGTTTTTCGTTTGTGTTGGGGATGGTGATGGCAGTGCTTGTGTGTCTGCCTCTATTGTGCTATTTACTTAGCCAAAACGTGCGTAAAGTTTTAATTATAAACTTTTTCTTGCACTCTTTCGGTCAGTTTGCGACCAGGTCCATTTAGGGTTAAATGTCTTGAAAACTTCTGCCGCTCAACATGCATTTTACGGCACTTTAAGGGGGCAATTTATAAGATTTATGTGTAGGTGGAGACATCTGCTATGGTGCCTCAAATTAAGATTAATTAATTAAGTGATTTATGACCGAAAGAAAATATTACGATTTTTATTCTGACCCTCTGTGCATCCTTCAAGTATTTAATGTCTTCAGCAAAATTTTGACACTTGAACTCCATTTCGTTTGGCTCGAACTGGTTGCCTTAAAAAACCTTTCTGTATAATTGCAAACTATTGCCGTCCAAAGTGGAAAATCAATTTAATTTGCTGATGGGTTATAAAAAAAGGAAATTCAAATTCAAATGTTTATATATCGATGCAATGGTGCTTACAAATCAGATCAAATACGGAATGCAAAGGGTCGTTGAATGGTTGGTTGTTGATAGAACCGCTTGGCACACACATATTGGGTGCATTTTTGATATTTTATGTGAGATTTTTTTGTGTGGGATTTGTGTAATCAAATCAATTATATTGCACGTAGCTCTTTATTATTTCCCCATTCGTTTTCTGCTCGCATTGAGACTAAAGTGGATTTATAATTATATTTCACTTTGGAGAAATTCCATTCTCGCTTTTCATCTTAGTGGATCCATAATCACTCCTATTGATTCTGTTCGTCCATCATTTGGCTTGTTTGCAGCGCCGTTTAATAGACCACTTGTTGACAAGCGCCAAAAACTCTTTTGTCCATCTAAACAGTCGGATTGAGGCCCCAGAATGTATGAGGGAAACTCTGTGGAATCAGAATCCTGCAGTCTCCCCCTAGAGCCACAGCGGAACAATGCCCCCACATGCACAATGCTCTTTTCTCCCGGGATGCGTTATTGGCAATAGACAAACTCCATTTGAGCGGATAATTGCATGCAGCGCTTTATAAATCAACAAACGTCTTCACATGGCAGAGGTTTTTGTGCACTCGATTGGGGGCTGCCTGGGTGGCACGTTGGCTGGTTGGTTGGTTGGTTGGTTGGTTGGTTGGCTGGCTGCCTGGCTGAGTGAATGACTGACTGCCTGACTGACTGAGGACTGAGTGACTTGTTGGGTTGTACATTTCAATAAAACATTCAATGCATAACTACAATGGGCATAAGTTATGCTTCGCTGGAGAGCCACAGAGAAAGCCGTAGAGAGTGAGTGATAGAGTTCACTTGACTCGCACTAATTCCTTCCCCACGATAATGATGTTGTTGTTGATATTGATGTTGATATTGATGTGGCTGTGGGTGTATGGATGTATGGACAACAACAGATAAGGATGCCATCGACTGACTGAATGTATGACTGAGTGGGCTGGCTTTTGTCTGGCTGAAAGCACAGCTTCTATACCTCATCATCATCTACTTTTTCCATGGATTATATCAGCAGTCAAGTGGCGCCCGCCTCTCCTTGCTAAGTTAAAGAACGCGGGCCCGGCTGTTTTAATGGAGTTCCGTTCATTTTTGGATGCTTTCGGTTAACTACAAATAAATAAATCAAAAATATAAACAACAAAAAAGTTATCGCTAAACTTCCGTTGCACGGACGCTTGAAAAATGCCGGACATTGAACTTCTCAGCAGGCAGCTCTAGCCGAGGGCGTTACGAGAAATGTAAAATAAAAAGAACAACCGAACGGAACTGAAAATAATCAAAAAAAGCAACACCAACACGTAACATTAAACTTCACAGTCACAACGTACTCGTACTCCGACGTTTCTTTAAAGTCGCCCCAGAGTCCACATCGAATGGGAACAGCCGCACGCCTGCAAGTATGCAACGCTGTAATACGAGAAGAGCACGCGATGGGGCATTAGTAGGAACTTGTGGGCTGATGGAACGGAGCGGAGAATCTACAACATACATAAATGTATGGCTTATGAATCAGGCAAGACCACCAAACCATGCAGCTAAGCTGGAGAAGCGGAAGAGCTTAGGTTGAGGGAGCCCTCCCATTCAAGTGATAGAAGTTGGTAAGTACATACGGGGACGTGAGATAATGGGGACGTGGGAGACCAAAGAGGAACAATTTAAGCCATTAATTATGATTTATCAATGTGTATAAATTCCACGTACCACTCCCAGCTTTTTTTACTTCCATTCCAATCCATTTGTGGGCCATTCTGCCCTACGACAACGTGAGAATTGTTGAAGTAATCAACTCAATTAGCCGTCACATAAGCACCAGCCCCCCGCAGCGCACCATACAGCCGCAAACAAACACAAAACTCAATTAGATGCCATAACTAAATAATCACAAACACATTTGAACAAACAGCAGCCAGCTCCAAGCTCCTCAGCGCCATGCCAAGGCAGACCGACCTCCGAACGTCTTGACGTTGCTGTGTAAGAGGGAAAATAAAAAGAAAATAAGTGGAAAACCAGGTCAACAACAAGAACAACACTAGCATGGGCGCAACAATTTTGAAACAATGGCGACAACAACCAGAGCAACAAGGCATGCCTGCAAAATTGCTTGAAATGTGCAGAAGCCCGGGTAGGGCTTCACAGCAATGGGAAACCGGGACTGCGGAGGCATTCCAGCATGTGACGCACGTGACAAAACTTGTCAAATGACTTTACTTCACTTTGACGGGGAATCCCGGTCCGGGTCCAGAGTAAACACAGCCAACGCTCAAGTGGAGGGCCGGCAGTCTGAAGCTGGAATCCCGACCAGGATGAAATATATGTTTGAGTGTACTCGTGTACATGCTTCTCCCCCTTGAAATGCTTAAGAAAACTCTGCTCTTACCGAAACAATATAAACGCGAGGGACGAGGCAGAGAATGAGTCGCGTACCATATCTCAGTTTTTCCCAACTTGTTGCGCCTTCAGCTAAATTATGACACTAAGGCGATGGATAGGAAAACAAGGAGAGACGCCCTTGGCTGCAGTAACAAATAGTGCAGTCAAGTGGAACTCTATTTGATTTTGAGATAACCAGGACGTGGGATTTGGGGGTGATTTTTACGTTTGATATCCAAATCAGGGATTAGTAATTTTTAAGTATTCCCAAAAATTTCCCCAAAGTGGGTAGGCTTTGATATTGAACTTGATTGTTCGAGTGCTTTGCCCTCTGTGTGAGCTCCACAGATTTTCATTCTAGTCTGAGATCTCGAACGATAAACATATTTTGGAAAAAATACAAAATTCTTTTTGTTTTTTCAAATCCTACTTCCGTAAACAGGCAAACGTAAATTAATTTAAAAACTAATATTTTTAAAAATATATATTCTATTTTGATTATTGCAGAACAAAAACCAAAGATGTGCAATCCTTGCTTCCGCTCAATGCCCGGTACTTGCTGTGGACCAACTGGCGGACTGGGACCCTGTCTTCTGTGCGGACCCTACAATGGCCAGTGGTTCAAGTCGATCAACCATTGCTGCGGCCCGTGCGGACCCTACGGCTGCTGTTCCTGCTATGGGCCCTATGGCGGACATTGTTAGCCTGCTTAGAAGGAAGGTAGGATCCAACACCGAAGACCAAAATCAATCGCGAGACCTTGGATGAAGAAGAAACTGAAGAGAAAATTCTGAACAGAGGTGGAGCAAAACATCTTTTGAAAACAATCCACAAAATCAAAGACGAATGTTAATAAATTATTTGATGTATTTTTTCTCATACATTTACGAACTATTCTTTTTTGGGAAGTGGAGGGGAACTTAAAAATGTGTGGGAAGTGACATTTTGCATATTAAATGTTCAAAAGAAAATTAAAGCTAAACGACTACTTGGCCATGGCTATCATAAAAGCGGTAAACAAAATATTGCCAAAACAATTTTCCTTTACTTTTCAGTAACAGAGAATTTGCGTTATTCTTTAATTCTCAATCTTCCATCCGCCTTTTTATTAACCAAAATCTAGTAAAAATAACAACCAAAATAAGTATTCCAATGGCCGTAGAACAGGAAGCTAAATTTGCACGCCTGCTTTGGGTTGGGACTCGCTCAACTCCACGGGGTGCATTTAAGACTAAAGCCGATTTGATTGTACATATTTGGCTCGTTTAGAGCTAATGACACATCGGGGACTAACAGCGAGTTGTGTAATGCTAATGGGTCTATAGAGTGCCAATTTGTCTGCCAGAATAAACAGGGAGAAAACAGGAATGGCAGAAGGCAGATTTAATAGTTCTTGTTGTTTTTTATTTGTATTATTAGGGATGCGATGGTTGGTTGATCTTCAACTTAAATTCAAGCATAAAGAAAAGAGACATTCTTTCTGCTACTTGGGACGCTTAAATATCTTTGAGCCGCTCAGTGACGGAAAGTACTCCAGACTATTGAGATCGGGGGCTTGAGGTTTGTCCGGCATTGGACTGGGAACCTTGCGCTGCTGCGGCAGAGCTTTGCGTTTATTAGAGTCGCCCTGGCTCTGGCGGAGAGCCGGAGGAATGTAGATATGTTTCTTGGCCGAAAGTTCACTCTGCTTGGCCGGCTCGTGGTTGGCCTGCTCCGGCTTCTGACAGGGGCATGATGTCGCTGGCACGATCTCATTGAATTCCACATCAATGCCATCACCTCCAGTGTTAGAGATTAGGCCAGGTGCCGTGGAGACAAGGGCCTTAGGTATGTCACGTGGCACATTCGTAAATTTACCACGATTCTCCTCGGTGAAGTCATGCGCCTCATCTGAAAAACGCATCCCGAACTTGAGAGGTGCTGAGTCTCTAGCATAATCAGCTTCCCCATCTTCCGATTGGACGTCAACCTCCAGGTTGGAGTTGTCTTCCGATGAAAACTTTGTTGATTCTTTGAGCGTTTTGTACAGCTCCTCAGCTGCCAAATACTCGGAATTTTTCTTTGACTTTTTGTGATCCTTTTTGGAAAAGAAATCTTCAAGGTTGGACATTTTGGTGTGTTTATTTTTGTATCTGCCAGAATCAACAACTTTTGAAAATGAATGGAAATCTGTTGACAGCCTAAAGGCCAAGCCTACTTTGAACGAAAAATCGGTAAAAATTTCCCATGAAGTCTCGGAAAAAAAGTGGGGAAATGTTCAAGCCAGGCACACGTCGGTGGATGCAATAAAAACACCACATGAAAAGCAAGAAGTGAAAACAAATAGTCCATGTGCTGGCGTTTGGATTGAGTAAGTAGGTGAGATTTGGCTATTTGCATATGTATTTGTAAATGTATTTAAATTTAATAAGTAAATAAGTTATTCCATATCTTGCACAGCTTCGAGAGGCAACCTTTCGTGGTTGTCCACCAGATTTGAGACCCACAAAAGGCGAGACGACATGGGCCTGTTGGCCCGTCTTTCTTCTGTACTCGAAACTTTGTTCTGCAAAAATTTGAAATTACACGAACTGCAAGGGTAACTAAAGCTTCGGTTTCCCATGCCATGGTTCTGGCCACGCGTGGCCCTCTTGTACTCGAAAGCTATAATAACATAATTTTTGTGTATGAGCGTGAGGAGATGGTGGAGGGAGGGTGAGGGTCGCCGAGATATCCTCTCTGCTGACATATGCCACTAATTAGAATTATGTGCGCGTAATGCCCTGGCCACGCCTCTTCTGTGCAGTTGCTGTGCCGTTCGCCCACTTCCCTCTATGCGGCGACATTTGGAGTGGAGGAGCAAACCTTTTTATGCCACTGTGCCGCATATGTTCATTATGTTTGCCTGCCGACAAGTCCTCCACGAGTGCTCGACGTCTGCTTGAGTAATTACCAGGAACCACAGACCAGAAACAGAGCCAGAAGCGCATCGTGAATGCAACGGCAGAATGCAAGTGTAGGTTGTCCTTGTGGGGGCCGGGGCGACACTTCCATCGTCACTGCTGCAAAAGCTTTTTATGAAATGACGATGACATAAAACAAATGTGCTGGCCAAAAGAGACAGCGACAGAGGAACGGACCAAGAGGGAACACCAACAACAAGATTTGTTCATGTCTCTACTTAAATTTATTATTTAATTAGTGGAACCATTTGGTTGTGTGGTCTTCTCAAACTTGTTTGGGCATGGGCATGGGCATTATGTAAGGGCAACCTGTTAGAAGTTTCAAAAGACCAGAATGAAAATTAATTAAATTCTATAAGTAGAACACTGTTCGGAAAATGGGAACTTCATCAATGTACTTTGCCCGAGACAAAAACTAGGCTGCAGGCCTCGTTGAGTAAAGATTCTGAAAAAAAAACATTATATGAGTTTCATTTTTAAAAAAGGAATAAGCGGGCATTTATTTATTTATAATTATTCTTATAAATGTACAGAACTACGGAAAATTCACAAGCAGTGGAGTTATATTTGACCAGTATACTAGATCAAAATGCATCACTATTTTTGCCTTTAAACCCCATTACATTCCTTAAATGTATTTGCCTAATACAAATGGTGGGGCTCACCATAAACAGGGTAGCCCAAGGTCAATGTCTATGCTTCACATACACGCAACACGTTCGCTTTTGTGGTGAAAGCAGCTGTGATTGTCAGTTGGTAATTAATATTATTCAATTAACACCAGACGCCAATTAAAAGATGAAAGCAAAATGGAAAATTAAAATTTGGACGCCAGCCTCAGGTTGAGAAAAATTAGAGCAAGACCAAAAGAATGTATCTGGATTTTTAATCAAAGTTCCCAATATTTTCGAGCGCCTTGCATTAAAACTTCAACTCCCCCAGGCCACAAATAGCTGATTAGGAGAGCTGGAAGAGCTTCAAGGAAAATGTTTGAAAACAAGTTCAAACATATACGAGCAAAATATATCACTGCACATGAGTCAGTGGCTGAAAAAAAGGAGCAGTTGCCAAGTCTGCATAAAAAGTTCAGCGAGAAGCTGCGAAAACTATCAGAGGGAAACCCCCAAGCCAAGAGCATCACAAACTCAGCTGGAACAGGACACACACACGGGGTGGAAATAAGGAGAAGGAAGAGGAACAGCACTGACGGAAGACAGCAAAATCAACCCCCACCGGAAGGGAGACTGTGAAAAATATTGGCGCCACATTGGCGGCCCGTCTGGCCGGAGAGTCGGCGACGTCTGCGGCTCATCTCAACGCTGACTGCTCCAACTCCAGCTCCGGTTATTGTATTGATTTTGTGAGAGTGTGTCTGGGGTGTGCGTATGAGTGTGTACACGAATACAGGGAATCCTTCAATGGGGACGCATTCACCACGATGCATAATTTGGGAACAGCCCCGCGTAGTGCTGATGACATCATCATGACCATCAACGTCAGTATCATCCGCAGTGGTAAACAATTTCCAGTTACGAACTTTCTCATGGAGTTTTATTTTATTTTTCTTTACCACCCTCTCTTTGTGGAGACTGTTTGCTTATATGAACATTATATTTTATGCTTATTGTGCGAACTCGATTACTTTAAAGCTGTTTATCGTTGAAAATTCTACTGAGTCATTTTCAGTGCGGCTTGAGACCGTCAATTTGTATCGCACATACGTACATCCATTAAACTAAAGTGTTACAACACTATTCAGCGTCACGCACGTTTTCCCGACTCTTACCCATGCACGCGCTTTTCGCACTCCCCGCTATGCGGATCGCCTGCTCGTGTGACATGGAAATTGTTTGTCGAATTATAGAATTTCAATAAAGTTTCTTAGTTGGCAGCACGTTTCCCGAATGGCAAACGGAAAATATATACCAAATGGGATCTTAATGGGAAGATTTAATGAAGAATAGTGCCATTTGAAAGTAGCTTTGGCTTGAGAGAGCGTTTTGTTTAAGAATTTAAGTATTTCCCTTTTTGACTCTCTGAGATTCGGGTTCATTGGTGTGTGAATTTTTGGTCTGAGTAAAACTTGCGCTTAAAGGTATAGAAATATCATCTATCGGCACTAGACGATTGGGATTGGGAGCATTGGGACTATGCGAAAACCTTTTCATACTGATGAACTAGAACGGTTGTGTTGCCTTTATCCAATTTTCTTATTTGCCTCCTTTTTATTTGATTTAATCAATGTGCATCGGCATTTTCCAGCGCACATTTTCTTCGGTTCCCACTTCCCACTTCCCCTCCCCTGACCCTGACTCTTTCTCTTTAACGGTTTATTTATTTGCGTTTGACTTTCGCTGCGTGGCGGGAAAATGGCGTGGAGGAAGCTCCGAAAGCAAATACAATTACAGTGAGTGCTCCTGCTCCTGCTCCTTCTATGATTTTTCCGTCTCTTTCAGGCACTCCCGCACAGTCTCACTGTCGCTTTCGCACTCACGACAGAAATTGGCCAAAAGCACAGATAAAAGTAAATACATAAGTAAACAAATCATTTGGAAAAATATTTTTGCGCACAAATCACATCAAGGTGCAAAAATTATTTACGAATATTATTTTGGTAAACGAAGCGTCGAAGAAGAGCAAAGTGCACTGAAGAGGTCGATGGATGGTTGGGTGTACAGATGTATGGGATGGCCAGACAGTTGCCAGAGAGGTAGAAGGTGCCAAAATTTGAGAAAACGAAAAGTCGAAAGCAAAATGTTGAAAGCGTGAAAAGTGTAAATATTGCCAGTGCCATAATATTTGTATTTTTGCTTTATTCTGGCGGTCCCTTCCCACCTGCACTTCGTCGATGAGTGTAAGCTTCAATGGTTCTCAGCAAAAGCGATGAAGTTATTGACGGCCGGGCTAACGGAGGCACTGACTGACGAACTGTCGGTTGATGGAGGTAGCTTGAATGGCAGCCCAGTCAAGATTGATGTGGCTAGTGTGTGAAGTTATGGCATAGACAGGAGCATTGATTAGTCGGACAAGCATTTGAAATCTGCTGGTTATTTATTATACTCTTTTCGTGTTGGTAGAAGTGTCAAAACAACTTCAAGTTCTTACAATCCAATATCTGTATAATTAAGTAATCCACTCTTATAGTATTTTCCACGAACATGTTCACTGATAATTCTCTAAAAGTAGAACTGAGAGGCATCCGAAATTATTTTTACACAAAAATGAACTTTCGCAGCGCTTGCACTTCCGCTTGCAAGTGCTGCCTTTGGGGGTACTGGCTTAGATTATTATATCAAAACAAATAAATACTCTTACTTACACTCACTTCTGTGTACGAGAACTCCATGAGGAGCCAAAATTTGTATTTATGGCAAAAAGTTGTGTGTGGCGCGAAATTCGCGAGTCTAACAATGTTCGCTGGAATTTCTCGCAAGTTTTCTGTAAAATGCAAAACCCTCTGCCTCTGTACGTGTGGTGTGTTTTTGTTCAGTCTTTGAGGAGGCCATTGCGAGTGGGACCCTCACACGCTAATAATGTTTTCGTAGGACCCGGACCCTTGCACAATATTTCCTTTTGTGGCTTGTCGCTGTTTGTGCTCTGCCTTTTCGTATGATAATTAAGTGGATAATAAGCGTGTGTGCCTGTGCTAGCGCACAAAAAATATAAATAATAAGGTCGCAATAGTAGTGGAAAAGTTTTTGCTATTTACACAAAGTGTGCAATGCTTACCTCCATGGAAGGGTTAAGATAATATTTTTGTTGGGTTTCCTCTAGAGCAGACCTCAGGCATGGAAAAGAGTACAATTTAATGGTGGTGAGGTCATCATAGGCGAACACATAAATATATGCAGAAACGAAAAGAAAGTAGCTCCTTCGATTGTTAATACGATGACACGGACCAAAATATATTTATTTTTGACTCCTTAACTTTTTGAATGCATATTCTGGAGTCTAATAATAGTCTATAAATGTACCAAATATAAGTAGCAAATTTATGGTTAATAAAGGCGTTTCTTCGATCCTTTTTAAACTCCTTTAGGTCGATATTAGGAGCTCGTAAGTGATCCTGATAGATAGTATTCAAGTTGCTTTGCCTCCTTCGACCCTGTTCCCATTTGGATCTAAATTGCACACTCACGTAGCCACAGACAATCGGCATTATCAGAGCACTATAATCTTAAATTTCACTCAATTAAACCACAATTAAGCAGTCCACTTCGCCCGCCCAGTG